GTATGTACCTATTAGTTAATGTACAGAATAAGTTATGCGGTACTCAAGTTGGGGTATAAACATTGACCAAGGTACTTATTGAGTAATTGATGGTAGGTGTCATTGCAGTTTGGAACTTTGGAGGTTGGTTGGGAACACGGCAGTAACTGTGCAGCACTGCATATTGTTAATACTTAGCAGGCACAGTCCTTTTAAATAGGGATTTAGACACATGACAATCAGGAGTTGCAAGTGAAAATATGAGTCTGGTAGCTACTGTATAATTCCAAAATAAAATCTGTCTACACACATAATTATTAGGAATGTGTACGTCATCAAAAATCCCTATAGGACCAGTTAGTTAAGAGAATCAGTGTCGTTAAAAATAAGGCAAGTTAACTGCAATGGCACTTACCATCAATTACTCAATAAGTACCTTGGTCCATGTTTATACCCCCCAACTTGAGTACCGCATAACTTATTCTGTACATTAACTAATAGGTACATACACCAGTACGTACATAGTAAGTATATGCAAATAGGACTGTAAAATAAAGTGCCCCATTTTACATAAACATTACACAGGAATTACCAGTTCTTCAAACTTTGTAAGCACTGTTGTGGAGAGCAATTTAGCATTAACAGTCCTACACAAGCAATTGAAAAATAGTCCTCTTTTTATTAGGTAAGGTTAGAACTTACCAAGCGTACCATATATACCAAGTACAGTATGTGTCTTGTCTGTTACCACATAATACTAAATTTTTCCATAGGTGCTACACATAATCTTATAATATTAAATAGTCACCTTAGATTAGGTCACGAAAAAACTGAATTGCCATTAATTTGATTAAATGTTTCTAACCTACCTTTACTTGACATTCATTCGATTAATTCACAGTTTTTCAAAAATGTTTAAAAATACACTGTTCATAAATTTGCTTGAATTTACTTTATAAATAAACATTTAATTGCTATTAATGAATTACTTTTTAACGTTTTCATGAACTATATATTTTAGATCCTTTAACCCTATCCCTAATCCTAAATATAACCACTTTTAAAAAAATAAATAAAAATATTGCCATCTGTGTTAAATCGCATAATTTTTAATTTACATATAATAATTTGTAAATTACAGTGACAATGAATGAAGAACTTTCTATTGCACTTATTACATGATTATTACACTTATTACAAACGTAGAAGCTACAGTTTATAAACTATTAATAAACTATTAAGTAATATTTAGCCTTTTTTTTTAGCAAATAATATTGTGTATAAAGCACCACAATAAAGTAAAGTATCTTTTTTTGCCACAAATGGCATTTGTGAATGAATTTAGAATATTTACAAGCAGAAAATTTTTCTCATGTGCCATGAAACATTTATCATTAACATTTTTCATAAAATTATATTATATTATATATTTTATAGTGTCCTTGTTGCAGTTGTTTACCTGTTTTATTTCATATTATAGAATCACAGTCTTTATTTCTCAGCGCAAACAATAACAAGATTTTGTTCCTTTCGTGGCATGGAATATTATATATATGACATTTTCCACTGAGGAAAAAAAAAGATGAGTCATGATATTCTGTTAGTAGATTGTCTGAATGTTGTGCATTTTTTATTTATTTACTTATTTATTTATTGACTACTCTTATGTTTGCGATGGTCAGGCTATCATTCTTACAGTTTAAACAATAACACTGCAGTTCCAGAACATCATGTCAGTTGGTGAGTGTCAATTTTGGACCTTGGAGACACACATAACACATGCAAGAACAATCATGACAAACTCACAATCACACCAGATGGAGGAATCTGATTGGATGATTTTGTGCACAGTCTTCACACATCCATATGCTTAAACATATTGCTAATTTTTAACATGCACTCAAAATTCGATGACAGACGCACCGGCGCTCGCGATCGGACAGAGTTTACATGCGTACAGTTCATTCGAGAGTAAACTAGCCCAGTCCAGCCATCACTGCCCAACTGAGATCCTTTGCAGGGAATAACAAGCCCTCCCCTCGTTCCTGAGAGCCGTGGGCAGGTGTTCAAACATTGTCCTTGGCCTCAGATGAGTGGGGGCTGGATCCTGTGGCCCTGCCAGGGCTCCTCTCCCAGTCGAACCCCAGTCAATGGACGGCACGCTGGGCCAACGACGCCGGGGCAGTGGGGGTCACAGGACGGTCTGGAAGCTTGGGATCATATTCACTGTCCATCATTAACACTTGAGCAAACACACGTTCACATGAACACAAACATGCAGATTATTATCATTGGGATTATTGGCATTTTGGGAGCAAAGCACAGTACGCCTGCACTGTTACACAGATGTGCGCGATCACACACACATGCGCACACATGTATCTGATCTGGAGGCACGTTTGTGTTTCCATTAGTTGGGCAGGACCCATATTTGGACAAGTGCTGGAAGCGGATAGTTATCCGAGCCCATCCCGGGTGACCACGAGGTGGATCCAGAGGAAAATAAAGCAAGTGCTCTGTGAAAAGCACTGTTGTCATTTCCAACGTTTCCCGCACATCTGGATCGGCTCTGCATCCTGTCAGAGCACAGCTGGTCGTCCACGTATCGGATCTCAGCTGTGTGCGCGTGCGTGCACCGCCGATGGCTCCTTTCTGATAGTACGACCCGTTCTGCATTGACGGGGTCAATTGAAGCTCTTGTACAAACATTCACATGTGTGTTTAAAGGTTCTGCTGTCTTTGCTTTGCGAGTCTCAAGCTGCTTTGGTAGATAGTGGAAAATCTCATGCCTGTGTCCTTTGTTTCTCATGATCTCTTCACCTCCTACCTTGCATCTGTCTTTCACACACACCTTTAGTTAGATATCTAAAAGGGGACATGCCGTGGACATCTGATGTAACACTGTACATTAAGGTCCTATATGTTAACGATGCTTAATGCAATCAAATAAAAATGAACAATACTTTTACAGCATTTATTCATTTTGGTTCTTGTTGATTTCTACACACATATCCATTCAAAAATGTGGAGTCAGTAAGATCTTTTGAAAGAAATTAATACTTTTATTCAGCAAGTATGCTTTAAATGATTAAAAGTGACAGTAAAGACATTTGTAATGTTACAGAATATTACAAAAGATTTCAAAGAATGCTGTTCTTTTGAACTTTCTGTTCGTCAAAGAATCCTGAAGAAAAAAGAAAGTATCAGGGTTTCCACAAAAATATGAAGCAGCACAACTGTTTTCAGAATTTATAATAATAATAAACGTTTCTTTAGCAGTAAATCTACATATTAGAATGATTTCTGAAGGATCATGTTACACTTTGCATCACAGGAATAAATTGCATTTTTTTTTTGTAATCTATAATAATATTTTACAACACTGTTATTACTGTATCTTTGATTAAATAAATACAGCCTTGTTGAGCATAATATACTTAATTAAAAGATTATATTAAGATATATATATATATTAAAAAATCTTACTGACCTCACATTTTTGAGTGGTAATGTATACTATACATT